GCACAGGAGGAACGCAGGAGTCAGTGCTACAACACATGAGACATAGAGAATAGTCTTCAGAAATCACAAGGAGTAATAATAAGGTCAGGAACACAACTACTGGTAGGCAATGCACCAACGTCAGAGTGAAGTCATCTACTGCCATTTATACTCATGTAGCTCTTTAAGGGAGTGGTCCACAGGTGGTGCCATCTGGTGTAGAAAAGCTGCAGGAGAAAAACTGGGAATTCCATCCATCCATCCATCCATCCATCCATCCATCCATCCATCCATCCATCCATCCATCCATCCTCTTTACTAGCTATTTCCTTTCTGGGTCACAGGGGTCATTGGTGCCCATATCCAGCAGTCACTGTGTGAGAGGCAGGGGACACCCTGGACAGGTCTCCAGTCCATCACAGGGACACATAGAGACAAATGATACAAACAACCATTCACTCTCTTACTCACAACTATGGACAATTTAGGTACCAATCAGTCTAACATGCATGTTTTTGGTCTGTGGGAGGAAACTGGAGTACCCAGAGAAAACCCACGTAGCATGGAGAGAACATGGAAACTCCACCCAGAAAGGCCCCTGGTCAGGATTTGATCCAGCAACCTTCTTGCTGAGTAACAGCAGCTCTACCAAGCCACCATACAGGGAAATTCATTCTCTGCAGTTTTCCCATTACACATGTGGAGCAGAGGAGCAGCTGGGTAGTTAAGGGCATTTCTCAAAAGCTCACAGTGGGGCAAATAAAGAAGGAGGCAGTTGAGTGTACTTCACCTCTCCCACCCACCAATGTCATGCCCCTGGTGATTCAAACTGGCAACTTCCCAATCACAGGCTTACTTTCTTTAACCTCTGCAGAAACTAGGTGGATTTGGGCGGTGCCTCTGTAGCCTCTTCTGAGCGGCTGGACTCAAAGGTTTAGGGCTGGACTTAAAAGAAGTTACATTGAGGTGGAATTACTGAGAACGTGTAATAAACATGAGGTTAGTTTTAGGGATTTAGTTGTATTAAACAATAAGGTGAGGGCATTAAAAAGGTTACGTGTTGATGTTTAAAACTGTAAATTTGAATGGATAAATCTGCTTCAGACCTATCTATCAGTCTGATTAACCGATGAATAGTTGGATGAACCATAAAGCATTTTAGACCTTTTAGATACGTTCAAATTTTGACTTTCTCAAATAAATAAATAAATAAATAAATAAATGTATATTTAAGGCTGAAGACTTTAGGATCTAGGTTAAACTGGTTCTACTGTTGTAAGGGTTCAGATAAACTAGATACTTTTTGTCAGTGGTTGTCCTCACAGGGATAGAAGCACAGAAGCATGTGTGAGTGTGTGTTTCTATCTGTCCTTTCCTGCTGCGTCTGCCTGCCAACAACTCAGAGCCAACCAGACATCTGGACCCTAACAAGTCAAAACGCTCCGGGGCGCTCACATTCGCTTTACCATCACCACTTCAGCTTTGTGTGAATGTGTGTGTGTGTCTCCTTTGTGTATCCACATCACATCTGCTCTTCATCATCATCATCATTTCACACCCAGTGAGCTGAACTCAACAGCGCACCATCGTCAAGTTATACAACTTCCACTCTTTCTGTCTGTCTAGTTTCCACATGTACACTCACAAGTACCCCCACCACCACCACCACCACCCCCACCACCCCACCTACATCTAACACTTACCAATTTATATCTATGACCTAACCCATTTAACCTAACTCTAAAACAACTCTTTATTGTCATTTGATCTGTCTTCCTTTTCTCAATAAGTAGGACAAGTTCTAAAATTGTGACTGTGTAAACAGATGTAAGTTCCCCACAACATGAGTCCCCCCCCCCCACACACACACACACACCGCCACCCCCACATACGCCTCAACAGACAATTTCTTGCTCTCTGTGGTTTCCCAGTGGGTACAAAGAACAGAGATGACAGATCAGCAGCAGCAAACCAAAATAGTGTCGTTGTGACTTTCATCACTCACATAATTTCCCACTTTGTCACATGAAATAGCTCCCAGTTTAATCCACAAAATGACTTATCACGTGACATCTAATTTCAAGTCCTATAGTCCTCCGCTGTCCAAACAATCTCACACAGGTCGAAATATCCACATCCTGCTGACAGACGTGCTCCTCTCTTTGAAGCCAGCATCATTATTTCATTTTATACACTGTGCCTGCACATCTGCAAAATGAAAAAAAAAATGCTGTGATGACAGAAAGAGAAAAGTTTATAAAAGGGGAACTCTTTGCAGGTGAAAGCTGAAAGCCCTCCTGAGATGATTTATAAAATTGTTGCATATTCATATTCTCCCTTCAAAGGACTGAGGTAAAAAAATGTTCTGATTTTCATTATAGAGACCGTCATCAATTATTATAAGCATTAGGGAAATGTTAAAAGAGCAGCAGAAAAATAAAATACAACTGATTTCAGTAAAATGCAATCTCTGCTGGTACTGATCAATCAGATTTACATCCATGCAAAATGAGAAAAAAAATGCATCTTCTTACTTTGGAAACTTGAAAACCTTTGTCTGTACTCAAAATGAAATTGTGTTTTTTTTTTTATCAATATTTCTGCCACTGATACCTTTAATACATCAGTGTATTACACTACATGTCAATGCTGCAGTCATAAGTACTACTGTTGCTTTGACAGTTATGACTTTCTATTGCTTCCACTGCTTTTTAATTCGACTATCATTAATGTTTATGCACAGCTCATACTGTTATCAATATTTGGGTGGCACAAATTTTGTTTGAGTACCGTATTTTCTGGCGTACAAGTCGCTCTGGAGTATAAGTTGCATCAGTCAAAAAAGCATCATGAAATGGAAAAAAAAACATATAATTCGCTTCGGCTTATAAATCACATTTATTATGTGTCACTGCTGACCCGTCGTGTTTATATGCGTTTATGTCATGGTCAAAACTGCTTTATTTCACCTGGGTGGTGCGGCGCCATCCATCCATCCATCCATCCATCCATCCATCCATCCATCCATCCA